TTCTAAAAAATGAATGCTCACAGGTGTACATTACATACAACAACAAAAGAAAAACCTCTAAACATAAATGTCCAATAGTGAGAAACTGATTAAATAAATTGCTCAAATGTAGTGAAATTTCATTAATCATTCTTACAAAGAACATGTAGGCAAACAGGAAATATGCTTAGAATATATTCTTAAGCATTTAAAAGCTCACAATAAAATGGTATGGTGGGTATGTCAATTTTCTAACAAATAAACAATTTATGAGCTGGGTGCAGTGGCTCCTGCCTGGAATCCCAGCACTCTGGGAGGCTGAGGTGGGAAGAACACTTGAGCCCAGGAGTTCGAGACCACCCTGCGCACCACAGGGGACCCCACTTCTATTTTTAAAACATAAAAAACTTACAAAGGAGCCTACAAGGATTCACACCAAAATATTATCAAAGTCCTAGATACTGAAAGTCAAGTATTTTTTCTGTTTTATACTCTTCTATACATTATTTAACTGCAAAAGACCTGAATTAATCTAACAACTGGAAAAATAAAACATCACACACATGCCACTAGCTAAACTGACTACAACAATTTTAATAATACTAACTCTACTGAAAACTAGTTTCAGATCCTGGGCAATTCATTTAAGCTCTCTGGACCTGTTTCTTAACAGAAAAAAATCAGAAGCTGAACTAGGTAAGTGGTTTTCAAACTGTGAAATCATACATGTAAAGTGCTTTAGTACAAGAGCTGGCACAGAGTGAACACTAATGCACACTAACACACTAATACTACTAACCAAGGACTCGCTACAGTGATAAACAGAACTTGTAGGCAAGCACGAGAATTCTGGGCCCATGACTCTCATTTCAACCTTTCAACCACTTGCCTTTTATGCTTCAAATACTGGACTCTTGATACAATTTCAAGTAAAGAAAAGGTTCCACTGTTTTAAAATGACTTGACTAGTTAATCCCTAAAGTCACTTATAACATAATATCAAGCTAAATATTACACACCTGTATTCTCATTCCTTTGGCAAGTCCAGATATACCCTCAATGAACAAATATTCATGGTGAACAAACAATAAAAATCTGGATAAGTTGTATTTGACATGATTCTAATATAATGCATAATAAATTTTTGTTAATTCTGAGATTCTATGACGGTTTTCCTCCTAACCCTCTTTCAAAGTATAGGTACTGGTCACTAAAAATTTTCTGTAGTTACTCCCTGTTTGGTATTATGAAACTCCCAGCCTTTTTATAGAAAGCAAAAAGGTGTACACTAAACAAAAAGACATCTTTAGGTAATCTTTTTTTTTTTTTTTTAAGACGGAGTTTCACTCTGTTGCCCAGGCTGGAGTGGAATGGCGCGATCTTGACTCACTGCAACCTCCGCCTCCTGGGTTCAAGTGATTCTCCTGCCTCAGCCTCCCAAGTAGCTGGGATTACAGGTGCCCGCCATGACGCCCAGCTAATTTTTGTATTTTTAGTAGAGACTCAGCCTCCCAAAATGCTGGAATTACAGGTGAGAGCCACCATGCCTAGCCATCTTTAGGAAATCTTAAAATTGTGCCTTTTAACTTGAAGAAAATACCTCTCAAATTACTGTGCATTAAGGACTGGGAAATAGCATTAACTTCGGTAGTATATTCACTACTTAATCAAGACACTCTCAAGGCCGCTTATAAAGCCTGGTATCTACTCACTTATACTACTTTCCCTCCAACCTAAGTAAGCACTTCAACAGCAAACTAGTACTAACAATTCTAAAAACCAAGAAGCCCACCAGATAAACTATGTTCCTGACTTCTAACTCTGACAATATTTTTTCCATGACTTTATTTTAATTTTACAAATTAGAGCAAAGATAAACAGTTTATCTGCTGTTTCCATGACCATCTTTCTAATCAGGAATTCCTACTGTTCTAATTAGAAAAGGTTAGTAAGGTTAAAAATAAGAAACTAACACAAGGACTCAAGAGATACAAGGATAGGACAAAGTTACTCTAACCTTTGGGTTAGCCTCTTCTCACTCCAGGATCAGTTACATCCATGTGGAGACAAGTGTGGCCTAGGGGAGACTCTAGTTCCAGCCCACTGGCCATACTTACTAGGTTCTATGACCTTAGGCAAGCTATTCTAACCCTCAAGACCTGTTAATCTAATTGGCAAAAAGGGGACAACAATATCTAGTGTACACGACAGTTATGAGGCTTAAATGAGAATGAATAGGAATGTCATAAACATTTGTTCCCTCTCCCACTCCTTTATGCCTGAAAATCAGGCTCTCATTTGATTCTTTTTTTCCCTGAGAGGAGGAAGAGCAGCCAAAACTACTCCCAGTGTTAATGTTCATCCCTTCCAGCAGTTCTCAAAGTGTAGTTCACAAACCTTCGGAAGTCCCCAAGATCAAACCTATTTCCATAATGATTCAAGACATTATTTGCCTCTTTCTGTGTCAACATTTGCACTGACAAAGTAAAAGGAATGGTGGATTAAGCTGCTGGCATCTTAGCACAAATCAATGTGGTGGCCCCAAGCTGTACTAGCAGTCCTTGCATTTAACTTTCAGTTAAAAAGTTGCCAGGTTCATATAAGGATATTCTTGATGAAACAATGAAAAAATTAATTTCATTAACTCTCAATGTTGAGTTGACAGTGTTTTCATACTCTATGTGCTAAAATGGGAAGCATTCCTGCTACCAACCAAAGTAAAATGCATGTCTCCAGGAAAAACACTTGTGCAATCATTTTATTTGCTTTTTCCAGAGAATGCTGTCTTTAGTTTATTAACAGACAACCCTTGGTTATTCAAATTTGGGAACCTGACAGACATTTTTCTCAAAAGTGTATGAAATAAGCTTGTTGCTTTAAAGAAAATATACAAGAACACAGTTTGGGTTTGAATATTTTCTTTATACATTTCAACAAAAATAACATATCACAACAGAGTGAAGGCAGAAGCATATATGAGAATCTGGCTTTAATTAAGCCAGACATTAAAGAAATTTGCAAAAATGTCCAACAATGTCATTCTTCTCATTAGTTTTAAAAAGTATCCCTTTTTGTTGTTGTTGAGACAGGATCACATTGTCATCCAGGCTGGAGTGCAGTCACTGCAGCCTCAACCTCCCAGGCTCAGGTGATCCTTCCACCTCAGCCTCACAAGTAGCTGGAACTACAGGTGTGCACCACCACTCCCAGCTAATGTTTGTATTTTTTCAGTAGAGACGGGGTTTCACCATGTTGCCCAGGCTGGTCTCGAACTCCTGAACTCAAGCAATCCACCCACCTCAGCCTCACAAAGTGCTGGGATTACAGGCATGAGCCACCATGTCAAGCCAAAAGCATACATTTTTATTTTAAAATATGCTATAAGTTTTTGGGGGTTTTTTGTTTGTTTTGTTTTTTGATATGGAGTCTCGCTCTGTCACCCAGGCTGGAGTGCAGTGGATGATCTCAACTCACTGCAACTGCTGCCTCCTGGATATAAGCGATTCTCCTACTTCAGTCTCCAAAGTAGCTGGGATTACAGGCGCATGCCACTTGCCCAGCTAATTTTTGTATTTTTAATAGAGGTAGGGTTTCACCATGTTGGCCACGCTGGTCTCGAACTCCTGACCTAAGGTGATCCATCCACCTCAGCCTCCCAAAGTGCTGGGATGACAGGCGTGAGCCACCACACCCAGCCTAAAATTATGCTATTTGTTAACATACAATAAATTTATTATTTTAAGTGTACTGACAGCTGCACGTTTTTAATTTCTGGCAAAGCAAGTACCAATTGATATAAACTGCATTACAAGGCTCTTTGGGCTCCTAAATAACTTTCTAGAGTCTGTCCTAAGAGCAAAATGTTTAAGAATCAGTGTTTATACTGTTACCAAATTCCTTAATACAGGCTATTTGGATAAACAGAAATGTCACTCAGTATTCATTTTATGTTCTTTCTGTCACATACTTAAGAGCAAATAACCTCATTACCCCTACTTTTTGTTTAATCTCCAACTGTCAATATTCTAGCTTAATTAACCTTTTTTGAAACACGCTTCTCACCATCTCTTTTGAGAATATGAGTAAGGTACCAATTCTCCAGAAAACTCTTACACACTGCAGAATTCATGCAAGTTCTGAGTCCAAGGACTCTGTCTTTTGGTCTATTCCACTAGACACTGGTATGAAATCCTGGTACTAGACAGCAGTGAGGTATCAGTATTGTACATGTCCAGTTTTTAACCACTGTATTCCAAAGAATACATTGTCACAAATCAAAAGACAAGCCAAACTATAAAACATAATTTACATGAATGAGTAAAATTCATGTTTTAAAACAAAACCCAAGCAATATTTTCAAGTAAAACAAGAGTCACATCTCAGCTAAAATAAAAACAAATCCAAAAGGGTGAAAATTAAACCTACTGCATCTTTTAAACTGCTTAATTCACTCGATATTTCAAAATTAATTTGGAAATCACAGCTAAGAAAAACATATGTTCACAGTATCATCCTGTACATATCTAATTTCTGTGAAAATGTAACACACTATTTTTAAATTCTACACATGCTAATCAAGGAATCACAATTTTTCATCACTGCAAACGTCCTTTTCAATATGGCCTGAGTTATAATCAAAGTGGAATAATCTACTACTATATGTTTGTTTCTAAGAATAGAAAGGTTTAAGTATACAGCCCTCCATTTATGGTTTTGTGAATTTTTAAATTTGTGAATTTTAAAAATTACCGTCCTCTTTGTTCCTTCTACATTCTTGAAACATTAGTTAAGAAACATATTAGTGATTAACAATTTTTAGTTTTTATTTTCAACATCCACTCCTAAATTTAATGCACTTGGTGGGAGAGATGGGGGGAGAATATAAGTCCCTTTAAAAATTTTTTTTTCTAGTTATTTTTCCGGTTAAAGGAAACTAAATATTGCCTGAGAAGGACTCCATACTTCAATACTTAAGTCCTTCTGGAGGAATCATAAGCTAACAGGTACACAAGATTGAAAAACCTAACTAGGGGTATGTGCCTGTAAATATAGCTGAGTCCTGGCAAATCCCAGCAGCCGCACTTTAACCATTCATACACTGCTGAGTGTTCAAAGTGTGTTCGGCTAAGGCAAATGCTGACCTGTAATCAACCTGGCTGTTTATGTACCTCACTTCCGAGTTCTGGACATCACTTCCCTTTTTTTTTTTTTTTTTTTTTTGGTCTATAAATATTCTTCCACCACATGGCTGCACTGCAGTGTCTGAATCTCCTGTGATTCTTGGGGCTGCCGGATTCGCGAATTGTTCACTGCTCTATTAAACTCCTTTAAATTTAATTCAGCTGAAGTTTTTCTCTTAACATTCCAAATAATAAAATGGTCTTTCTACCAATACACTTCATTAAATCTTCACACAGTTACATTTTCTCTTCAGTTGCATTGTCTATAGGTTGATTTTGCTATATATTTAACGCAAATAACAAAGCAACATCTATACTTTTAAAAAGTGAGTGACACATACACACATTCTGTTTCTCCCACAATCACGCAAACACCCACGCATATCCCTAACAAGGTACAAGAATAAACCTTGGAAGATTCATATTTTGCTCAGCACCTCTCACCTTAAATCCTCTAACACAAAAATTTTACCAGCTTAATCATTTGGAAGAGGAAAAGAGGAACTACATCTACATCTTCAAAATGGACACAATTTATGTGAAACAACATACAGAGAAAACTTATCCATAAAATTTCTTCGTGTTTTTCAGTTTAAAAACACATTAATAATTACCTTGAGAATAAGTTAAAGTACACATTTCCAGAAACAGCAACCAGTAAGCTCATTTCCACAGTACTCAAAATCAAGAGGCAAACTAAATGCATCTTGTAAGATGACCCAAAAAAATAAAATCAGTAATAATTTAGCCATTTAAAGTTATAGTTATAAAGCTAATTTTGCATTCAAGTGACAAAACCCTATCTACCATCAAAAACCAAAATGTAGCCAAATACCTTCACATACAGCTTTTCCTTTTTTTAACCCATTTATGCCGAAGGTTGCAAAAATTTTTTTGTGAAAAGTCAGACCTTGGCAATGACCTGGAGCAGGATATAAATAACTCCCACAAGCTTAGTGTTCCAATAATGGAACACTAGGCATAAATGGGTTAATGAGACAAAGTCTTGCTCTGTTGCCCAGGCTGGAACACCAGTGTGACCATAGCTCACTGTTGCCTTGAACTTTCAGGCCCATGCAATCCCTCTGCCTCAGCCTCCCAAGTAGGTGGGACTACAGGCAGGTACTGCCACACTCAGCTAGTTTTTAAAATTTTTTTGAAGAGACAAGGTCTTGCTATGTTGTACAGGCTCATCTCGAACTCCTGACCCCAAGTGATCTTCCCACCTCAGCCTCCCAAAGCACTGGGATTACAGATGTGAGTCACTGCACCTGGCCCTTACACAGTTCTTAAAAGTGAATTCCAGATAAACAGATATACACATGCACAGCAATAACAGTCTGCACACAAAGACCACTCAATGGGGAAATTACAGCCTCTTCAACAAATGGTGCTAAGACAACTGGGTAACCACATGCAAAAAAATGAGGTTGGACTCCTCCCTCCTCATACCTTATACAAAAATAAACTTAAAATCGACAAATAGCCTTTCCGGCAGTGACAACCTACCCACACGAGAACATGCCTCTCGCAAAGGATCTCCTTCATCCCTCCCCAGAAGAGGAGAATAGGAAACACAAGAAGAAACGCCTGGTGCAGAGCCCCAATTCCTTCTTCATGGATGTGAAATGCCCAGGATGCTATAAAGTCACCACGGTCTTTAGCCATGCGCAAACCGTAGTTTTGTGTGTTGGCAGCTCCACTGTCCTCTGCCAGCCTACAGGAGGAAAAGCAAGGCTTACAGAAGGATGTTCCTTTAGGAGGAAGCAGCACTAAAAGCACTCTGAATCAAGATGAGTGGGAAACCATCTCAATAAACACATTTTGGATTTAAAAAAAATCAGCAAATAACCTACATGTAAGAGCTGAAATCATAAAACTCTTAGAAGATAACATACAGGTAAATCTTCATGACCTTGGGTATGACAACAGATTCTTAGATGTAACACCAAAAAAGCATGTGCAACAAAAGAAAAAACTGTAAACTGAACTTCATCAAAATTAAAAACTTTTCTGCATCAAATGACATTATCAGGAAAATGAAAAGACAACCCGCAGAATGGAAGAAAAAGTTAACAAATCTGATAGGGGTCTAGTACCTGGAATATATAACACACAACAACAACAAAAATAAGCTAATTGATTTTAAAATGAGCAAAAGACTTTAATAGAATCTGTCAAATAAAATATACAAATGGTCAACAAGAATATGAAAAGATGCTCAACATCATTATTCATAAGGAGAATGCTAATGATAAAAAGTTAAAAACAACAACAACAAGTACTGGAAAAGATGTGGAGAAACTGAAATCCTTGTACACTGCTGGTGGGAATATAAAATGGTATCTTTGCTATGGAAAACTGTTTGGAGATTTCTCAAAAAGTTAAAACACAGAATTACCATACAACCCAGCAATTCCACTCATAGGCAGGCACCCAAAAGAAGTGAAAACTAGTACTTCAAATGATATGTACAACCATGATCACAGCAGCATTATCCACAATAGCCAAAAAGTGAAAACAACCCAAACGTCTACCAATAGATGAATGGATAAACAAATCCTGGTGTATAGATACAATGAAATATTATGTAGCCACAAAAAGGAGTGGAATGTTGGGCCAGGCACAGTGGCTCAAGGCTGTAATCCCACGACTCCGGTAGGCCAAGGCGGGCAGATCACTTGAGGTCAGGAGTTGGAGACCAGCCTGGCCAACATGTTGTGAAATCCCATCTCTACTAAAAACCCAAAAACTAGCCGAGCATAGGAGCATGTGCCTGGGGTCCTAGCTACTCAGGAGGCTGAAGCGGGAGAATCATTTGAACCCAGAAGGCGGAGGCTGCAGTGCGACAAGATCGTGACACGGCACTTCAGCCTGGGCAACAGAGTGAGTCTTGAATGTTGATCCATGCCGCAATATGGATGAACCTCAGAAACATCATGCAAAGTGAAAGAAGCCAGACACAAAAGGTCATGTTTTACATAACTGCATTTACATGAAATACCTAGAAGAGGTAATCAACAGAGACAAAAATCCATATTGGCTCACAGGAGTTGGGGCAGGGGGAAATGGGGAGCAGCTGCTTAATGAGTGGAGTTTCCTACTGGGGTGACAAAACATCTTGGAACTAGACAGAAGTAGTGGCTGCACAGCATTGCAAATGTATTAAACGCCACTGAAATGTTCACTTGTAAAATGGTGAATTTCATGTTATGTGAATATAACCTCAATTACAAAAAGAAAAAGTTTGCACAGATGTCTTATTAGCTAGTCTACACATCTCCACTTCGGCCAAGGAATGCTCTCCACAGCTCCAAGGTCCCCACTAACACTCTAAAGCCTCCCTGGCTCACAGCCTGGGTGCAGCTGGAGACAAAACACAGGATCAAAAATGTCCAGCCAGACACGGTGGCTCATGCTTGTAATCCCAGTACTTTGGGAGGCCAAGGTGAGCGGACCACTTGAGGCCAGGAGTTGGAGACGAGCCTGGCCAACACGGTGAAATCCTGTCTCTACTAAAAATACAAAAGTCAGCTGGGCATGGTGGCACGATGCTGTAGTCTCAGCTACTTGGGTGGCTGAGGCACATGAACTTAGGAGGTGGAGGCTGCAATGAGCCAAGATAGCACCACCGCACTCCAGCCTGGGCAACAGAGTGAGACTCCATCCAAAAAAAAAGTCCTACAAAAAGAAACAGTAAGAACATACATTTACATAAATATTGAAATTTTATGCTAGAGAAAAAAATGCTACAGAAAAGTATACATTAAAACTTCCTTAACAAAATTCAAAAACAAATGAAGGTAAAGCCTTCTGCAAACCCAAGCAGTGGCAAATATTCACGTCTGCATTACCTTCACCAATGTTAGAAAATAGCAAGTAACATAAGACTTCCTCCTAAATTTCAAACTTCCAGCTACAAAGGAGAACCACATAGAATCTTTCTAAAAACACCTACCCATATTCCGTGTTTGAGACACTGTAGGCAGTCTATTACTTTTGCAAGGATTGACTCTTAATGCAAATAAAATTATAATACTTGCACTGTTAAGAATGTTAAAAACAAAAAAGTCTTTCTTCTCAGCTACTTGCTACATACTTTACTCAGCACCAAAGTGTACCAGATGCTACATGCTAACACAGAACATAAAGGAATAGTGTTTCTTGCCTCTTAGAGTGAATATTTTAAGAAGAACATAGTGGAAATAATACATTAATTTCCAAAAAGATAAGGTACTACATATTCAACACTATAGGAATAATTTGAGGACATGACACTCACATCTTTCCTGTAGTGGACCCAAGCTGACTGGGTGAAAAACTTCAGCTAAAGAGGCATTCTTCCAGATATGAAAGACCAACTCAAGTATGCTCAGGAAAAATAGATTTTTGGAAGGATTCAAACTCTCTCTCCTTAAAAACACTTCGGTCAGACTATTCGCGTGTGTGGGGGGGAGGGGATGGAGTCTCACACTGTCGGCAATGGCGCTATCTCAGCTTACTGCAACCTCCACCTCCCAGGTTCAAGCAATTCTCCTGCCTCAGCCTCCCAAGTAGCTGGGATTACAGGTCCCCACCACCATACCCAGTTAATTTTCTTTTCTTTTTTTTTTTTTTTTTTTTTTTTGGGGGGGGGGGCAGTTAGTAGAGACAGGGTTTCACTATGGTGGCCAGGCTGGTCTCGAACTCCTGACCTCATGATCTGCCCGCCTCGGCCTCCTAAAGTGCTGGGATTACAGGAGTGAGGCACCATGCCCAGCCAACTATTCTCTTTCTTTCCTTTCTTTCTTTTTCTTTTCCTTTTTTTTTTTTTTTTTCTGAGATGGAGTCTCGCCCTGTTGCCCAGGCTGGAGTGCAGTGGTGCAATCTCAGCTCACTGCAACCTCCACCTCCTGGGTTCAAGTGATTGTCGGCCTCCCTAAGTGCTGGGATTACAGGCGTGAGCCACCATGCCCAGCCTGGCCAGACTATTCGTAACAGAAAATCTAGCTAATGAATGTGCAATACAAATAAGCAAAGTTGGTAGGCCCATAGAATGCTAAGGAATGTTACTGTTTTAGTGATTGTGTCTATGAGGCACTATGCCTGGCACTGTCAATATCTGCTACTACCATCCCAGCACTTTGGGAGGCCAAGGTGGGCAGATCACCTGAGGTCAGGAGTTTCAGACCAGGCTGGCCAACGTGGCGAAACCCCGTCTCTACTAAAAATACAAAAATTAGCCGGATGTGGTGGTGCACACCTGTAATCCCAGCTTCTTGGGAAGCTGAGGCAGGAGAATTGCTTGAGCCCGGGAGGCAGAGGTTGCAGTGAGTCGAGATCACACCACTGCACTCCAGCCTGGGTAGCAGGCAAGACTATCTCAAAAAAATAAAATTTAAATTTAAAAAATCTGTTACCATTAATACTCAATAGTCCTATCTTTCCTATTGTAAAATCCACCATGTTAATTGCAGAAGGTACATTAGGAAGTCAACTGGAGCCATTCTTCATTAACAATCACTTAAGAGGCAGTTTCATTCAAGCAAGCTTTTATAAATCCCAACTATATTCTCCCCCAAAAAGGCAGCAGTCAACATCCTTACACATACTAACTTAATAATCAAGTGATCTAAGTCATCACACAAGTCAATAAAGAAAACATTTAACAAAACAGAATCAAAGAAAGCATTTTACCTCACCACTAAAGAGCATCTTTGAAACTAGTGACTATGCTTTTGGAGAATAGGTATTAAAATAGCTAGGCTTACAATTATATAAAACACATTTCTCCAGCTCTTTAACAAGGTGTCACAAGAGATTATTACATGCCTTTGTGAAATCAAGAACTAGTGTGTATGGCTAAGGAACTCTGTTGATCCCTCTGTAAATACCATGCAGTCCACATGAAGCAACCAAGAGAGAAATGCCAAGACAAGTTCGTATGCCATCCTAATGAGGAACTAAGACTAGAAACCAAGTCTTCTGACAAACTCTATTTTTTTAAAATGATGTCCATTATTTAATGGCATAATTTTCCCCTAGTTTCTCAAGGCAAAAAAAATTTTTAAAAAGGTCAACTGGATACAGTGGCTCACACCTGTAATCTGAGCACTTTAGGAGGCTGAGGCAGGAGGATCGCTTGAGCCCAGGAGTTCAAGACAACCTGGGCAACATAGCGAGACCTCATCTCTACAAAAAGTTAAAAAGTTAGGCACAGTAGCACATACCTGCAGTCGCAGCTACCTGGGATACTGATGCAGGGGGATCACCTGAGCCTAAGAGGTCAAGGGTGCAGTGAGCCTAGATCGCACCACTGCACTCCAGCCTGAACAAAGAGAAGACTCTGTCTCTTAAAAACAATAACAAAAAAAAGTCTTGGTGTATGTGCATGGTTGAGAAGCCAACAGGGCGAAGCTACCATCTGTGGGACTATGACTGAAGGCCTCTAAGTCAGAATCCTGTCCAGGCGGAAAAACAGGGCAATGCCGCAGGGCCTTGGATAGCCTCAGCTACTGGTCCCCTGCTGCCGGCGGGACACTCTGCCCTACCACGCATGGGGACATGGGTCTGGTGCAGAAAGCCCCTCTTCCTGGGAAACAAGGTGTGGCAGTAAAGGTGGCCAACCCCTCTCCTGTCACACAACACACGTTCATGGGGAAACCTGGCACTAAACCTTTCACAGATGACCTGCTTCTGGGTCAAGGTTTCATAGGTAGCAGAGCAGCCGCCTCGGTGCAATCTACTGAAAGTCAGCCCTTGACACAAGAGTTTGTTAACAAGCAAAAAACAAAAATATAAATAAATAAAATAATTTTTTTAAAAACAAATTAAAGAAAGAAAAAATCATTT